TTTCATTTTTGTTACCCCCAGAATCTTAGCACAGTACCTTGTACATAGTAGGCGCTTAATAAATATTTGCCATTGAGTCATTGACGCTAATTTTCAGAAAAATAGAGATTTAGGTACTTTTGCTAAAAGATGCTCTCCTTCTCTTCTTCCCCCCTTGTCTTCCTGCTTAGTTCACTTCACTCAGGAGATCCATTCTATTTGTCATAAGAAACAACTGACCTACTCTGAGTCTGGCTGTCAATTAGGAGGCTGGGATTGTACAGCTTTGCATTGAAAGCTGAACGCATGCCATGATTTGTAGAGCAAGGAGCAGTACAATGTGATTTAGAGAATGTTGTTGTAACGAGGATGGGCATATGTTCACAACATCTCTGATGTGTCTCCCCCTGTGGGAGAGGCTGTAATGACATGTGATCAAAAGGTTTTGGAGAGCTTTTGGCAGGTGCAGACATTCTGTAACTCACTCTGGTCTGCTAACCATGCTGTTAGGAGAAGTCTTTTCCATAGATTGGGAACTAAGTGTATTCAAAATGGACTAGTGGCCAGAGCCATGCAGATTGGCCCCTCACTCTTTTGATGACTCTATTGAGGACCATCCAGTGAAAAAATCAGGCCTTCTTCCCTCTGAGATTGACATATGGCCCCATGAAAAATGGGTCTCAGTCTTTCTGCCTTGACATTTGTTCTTTTTCATTTTAGGGGAAGAAATTAGAGATTCTGACCCTGTGAGTTTCAAAAGGTCATTAGAGCCCATCTCTGCCATCCTGGCATCCTGGCATCTCCTGGTGACCTGGAATTGGGGCCTTATAGATAACTCATCATTGATGCCCCAACGAACAAGAAGTGATTTTTGGAACTCAGCTTAGTGGCAGCAGAGATGAGGACCTAAATGGTACTCATGCTGCATCTGAACGTGAACATGTTGGAACCAATGTTATGTAGAAACTGTACCATGTGGGAGGCCATTCTCCTCAGAAACCAAGTTGATATAGGAAAGATTATCCCTTAATAATTGGGGAGAAAATATTTGTGTAGTTGTCCTTTTTATAACTTCAAGATAAATGCCACTTTGCAAAAGCTAATTGTTTAAATAGAACTGAGGTGCTAATTGCTGGTACCTAAGGTAGGGGTGGGGCACAATCGCTGGTACCTAAGGTAGGGGTGGTCGGAGCTCAGGCTAATAACATTAGAAAGGAAACTCCCTCAAACCCCTCTGGATACTCCAAGCAAATAAAAATGCAATGAGAGTGACTCTGAGCATGAATATGTAACATTTCTGGTGTGAATTTCATCAAAGGAGTTATTAGGAGCTGCCACATTTCCATTCCATTTGCCACAATCTTACAACATCTCCCCACCCTATTTGATTAAACTTTTTTCTCCGGATCAGATCCCGAGACTCAGCCCTGTCTAAGGTTTATAGTCCCCTTTAATCTACTAGACTTCACATTTTTATAGTTTGTTCTCTTTTTTCAGAAGGAAACAGAATCCAAATCCTGTATTCTTTCCTTCTACTCCCTTTCAGTTCGATGACAGCAGTGGTTAGACTTCAGAATGTGGTAACTTAGATATCAGTGTATATCAGATCTCTTCAGTGTACAATTAAAGTGAATTTACTTACTCAGATTTCTTACAATCACCTATAAATTTTGTGTCCCAAAGACCTGAGTTCAAATCTAGCCTCAGATACTTACTGGCTGTGTGACCCTGGGCAAGTCACTTAGCCTCCGTTTGACTCAGTTTGCTCAACAGTAAAATGGAGATAATAATAGCATCTACTATTAGACTCAAGATAGAGAAACAAACAAAAACAAAATAAGAGGAGTTTGTGTTCTACTTGGAAGATAGAGCATGAACACAGGTAATTATACTCAAGGTAATTTAGAGAGGAAGAGAGTCCAAACATTAGTTTGAAGCAGGAAAAGCTTCCAATAGAAGCTGGCACACGAGTTAAGCTTTGAAGGAAGTGAATAAGTCTAAGAGACAGAGGTGAAAAAGGAGTCCATTCTAGGAATGGAGGTAAGAAATGGAATGTGAATTGTAGCTAGTAACACAGTTGAGCTGGGCAGTGTAATATATAAAGGGAGTAACATGAAATGAATCTGGGAAGCTAGGTTGGAGCCAGATTATAGAGGGTTTTTACTAACAGATGTGGAGTTTGTATTTTATCCTAGAGGCCATAAAGAACCTCTACTCAGGCTCTCCATGTGGCATCTCCTGCTCTGCTTTCCCATATCCTAGCCCTGTAGAAGGGGCACTAGTTAAAACTGATGCTTTAATAAGTTTTTTTCTATTTGTCTCTTGCTGATTTCATCAGTTTGAGAAACTCTGTGTTGAGAGACAACCAAAAAAATCAATATTGATGGATCATAGTGTACACCGAGGAGAGTAAAGTGTTAGAAGGTTGGAAACATAGGAAGGAGCCAGGAGGGCCTTTAAATGGCAAACAGGGCATTTTGTATTTGATCAGAGAGTCCAGAGATGTTGAGAAACAACCAAAAAAACCAATATTGATGGATCACAGTGTACACTGAGGGGAGTAAAGTGTTAGAAGGTTGGAAAGTTAGGAAGGAGCCAGGTTGCCAGGGCCTTTAAATGGCAAACAGGGTATTTTATATTTGATCCTGGAGGTAATAGGGACCTATTGGAGTTTATTGAGTAGTGGGATTACATGGTAAAATCTGCCTTAGAGAAATCACTCTGGCAGTGGCATGGAGGACAAATTATAATAGTGAGAGATGTGAGGTTGGATGACCAACAGAATAAAGTTATTTTAACTTTTTAAAACTTTTTTTATTACTTATTTTATTTTAATGGGACTGAGTCACTGAGAGTCTGCACCAGGGTGATGAATGGAAAGAAGATATATACAAGACATATGAAAGAAGAAAGGATAAGACTTGGTTAACAGATTGTCAAAGGTGACACTGAGGTTGAGATTCTAGGTAACTGATAGGATGGAGCTGCCCTTGACAGTAATAGAAAAGTCCAGAAGAAGGGAGAGTTTAGGGACATGGTTTTATCAAGGATAGGTCTTGCTAGACCAGCTTTATTTTCTTTTTCAAATGAGATTACTAAATTGACATCATAATTTACTTAGGTTTTAGGGAAGTTTTACAAAATATCTCTTGTGCAAAAGTTGAATAGATGGGGGCTAGAAAATAGGATAATTGGAGGGATTGGAAGGGTTGAATGGCTAGCAGGGTAGAGAACCTGTGGCCTTGAGGCTACAGGTGGCCTTTTAGGTCCTTGGGTGTGGCCTTAACTGAGTCCAAGTTTTACAGAACAAATCCTTTTATTAAGGAGATTTATTCTGTAATGTTTGGTCAGTCAAAGGGCCATACTTGAGGACCTGGAGGGCCACAGGTTCCACACCCTTGGGCTAGACTCAAAGTGTAGTCATTAATAGTTCCATGTAAACTTGGAAGGAGGTCTTCAGTGGAGTGCTGTTGAGGATCTGTATTTGTCTTCTTGCTGTTCAACATTATCAATGACTTGGATAAAGACATAGATGACACCCATATCTAATTTGAAGTTGAAATGAAATTTGGTGGGATAGCTAATACCCTGGGTGAGAGTGAGGATTCGAAAAGAACTTCATAGGCCAGAAGAGTGGGATGAATTCAATAAGAGGAAATTTAATAGAGAAAATCTAAAGTTTTATACATGAGCTCCGTAAGTCAACTTCACAAATAAAAATGGAGGATTGTGGTGAGACAGCAGTTTGTCTGAAGAAGATCTAAGGGTTTTAGCGTCCTGCAAATTCAATTTTAGTCAAAAGTATGCTATGTCTGCCAAAAACACTAATGTAATTTTGGGCTATATTATGAAAGAGATATAGCTTCCAAGAATAAGGAGGTAATAATCCTACTATAATGTGCTTTGGTCAAACCATATCTAAGTATTCTGTTCAGCTTTGGACACCACAGTTTATGAAAGGCATTTTGAGTAGCAGCCAGAGGGAGGTTAGTCAAAATAGACAAGGGCCTTGAGTCTATACCATATGAAGATCAGTTAAGGAACTAGAGTTACTTACCTTGCAGAAGAGAAGGCTGAAGGGGAATTTTATGAGTATGTTCAGGTACTCAAAAGGCTATCATGTAAAAGAGGGATTAGATCTGTTTTCTTTGGCCTTAGAATGAAGATGAGAAGTCAAAGTGAGTCATTTATATTTGACCTCAATGTAACTTTCCTAAAAGACCTAAGCAAAAGCGAAATGGTATACCTCTGGTGATGGTGGGTTCTCTCTCACGGGAGGTCATCAAGCAAAGGCTGAATAACTAGTTTGGGTGCATATTTTAATTAGAATTCTTTTTTGAGCATCAGTTGGGTTAGGTCAGCCACAAAAGTCCTTTCCAATTATGAGATTTTGTGAATCTTTAAACATACCTATCTGAGATCTTACAGGAGGGTCAAGAATTTTAACTAGGTAGTTGAGTAAACAAAAATGTCCTTCCAGTTCTCTGTCATGACTAGGTCTTACCTTTGCAAAATTTTACCTCCCCTCTACTATCTACCCTTTCAAAAACTGAAAGCCTATTTCCTATAAGGTTACTATTTAAGGCAGTTAGGTGATATAGTGTATAGAGCACTGGACCTGCAGTCAGGAGAGACCCAAATTCAAATCTTGCCTTGGAAACTTAGTAGCTGTGCAGCCCTGGGCAAAGTCACTTAATCTTTGTCTGACTCAGCTTATTCATCTGTAAAGTGACAGTACCTACCTCCCAGGGTTGTTTGAAAGATCAAGTATTTTCCAAGAACTTTGTAACCCTTGAAGTATTATATAAACTCTATTATAAATTCTTGTGAATTTCTTACAACTGGGAATTTATAAGCTCTGATCAAGTATGTGGTCAGTTATTACTGCTTTTATTATGATTTGTTTAAAGATTGTAAATTTTTATCACCATGAACTGAGATGGAAGGCAGTTCACAAAGGAAAGGCAGAGTCAGTTGGTGTTTTCAAAAGTATATTGAGAAGTTTTTTTTTCCCTTATGCTTCCAGAACAGTGAATTTCTGCTCTCCTTTTTTAAGGAGATAGAAGAGGCTGGAAAGAACACTTGTAACTGTAGCTCCTCACAGGAACCCAGCTAAACATTAGGACAGTTACTGCTCCTCAGCTCATATTGTCTATCCCAAGGCACAGCAAAAATAAAAAAAGTACAGTTGATTACCTGGGGAAGAAAAAAAAAAAGAGAAAACTTAGAAGAAGAAAAAAAGCAAACATAAAGACACCTGCCTTAGTAGGTGGAATGGCTCAGGGAGGATTTGAATGATGGCACCTCATTCAGATAGCTTAACGTGGCCACCATCACCCATTATCACAGTGAGTTCCACGTCTGGGGAATTGGTTTGGAGCCATCAGTTGCTTCAGAAACTTTGTCAAGTAATGACCCATCACAAGCAGTTTCTGATGTTGAGATTTTCCTTTAATTGGGTCAAAAGAAGAGCACTAGATTTGGAATTAGGGGACCTTCATTCAAATCCTGACTCTGTCTCAATATTGTACAAGCCATTTAACTTTTCTGGGCCTTAGTTTCCTCATCTGTAAAATGAGAGGGTTGGACTAAATGACCTCCAAGATCCCTTCTAGCTCTGTATCAATGATCCTATGCCCTCTTCCAAGCCACAAGTTAAAAATATTCTCCTTTAAAAACATTTTTTATGTAACGCCTCGCACATAATAGGTGCTTAATAAATGCTGGTTGACTAAGAATTGTTAATTATTCAAAGCAGATTTTAGTCTCTTACCTTATACAATTCTGGGTCCTCTTGAAGGCCACAGTCAGCAGGATCAAATTCGACATCTTTTGTACACATGGTCCGACTGAGTTTCATGTCTATGAGGTACTCAAATCCCGTTGACAGCTGTTAGTGAACAATTGCACAGTTAGGGTTATTATTATTATTATTATTATTATTATCATCATTATTACTATTATTATTATTATTTCTTCTTATACATGTAAATCCCATGCACCAAACTCTGGGCTTTTATAGATTAGACTGGAGGCTTCTTCAAAAATTGCATATTTTTTCTTCATTTTTGCCACAGTTGAGAGTTTTCTTTGGAAACCTCAGAATATAGCTGTGTTTATGTCTGCTAGGGAGCAGCTAAATGGTACAGTGGATAGAGCACCAGGCCTGGAGTCAAGAAGACCTGAGTTCAAGACCTCAGATACTCACTAGGTATGTGACCCTGGGCAAGTCATTTAACCCTATTTTCCTCAGTTTCTCCATCTGTAAAATGAGCTGGAGAATGAAATGGCAAACCACTCCAGCATCTTTGCCAAGAAAGCTCCAAATGGGGTCACAAAGAGATGGACGTGACTGAAACGATTGAACAACAACAGCAACAATAAGGTCTGCATGGTTGTGAAAGGAAGAGTCACCAGGTCCTGTGTAAGCATGCAAAAAAGTAATACATATTGGAAATAAGACAGACTTTATTTTACTCCACAGACAAAAATAAAAAAAATACGAAAGATTCACAGTAAACTATAATCAACATAATCTCCTTTTCCCTGGTGAGTCTCATCAACTGTAAACATGTAGTTTTAAAGACACCAAGGCCATAAAATAGCTAAGATATCTCGGTAAAAGACTGGGTTGGAGTAGTGGAGGAGATGATTATTAGAAGCTTGGAGGCTCCCTTCTTCCCATGACCTACTCATCTGGAACAGATTTCCACCCATCTCTATTACCCATTGGAAGTCATTTATTGGACTCAACCAAGGTCCTTCATAGGTCAACCAACCAATAATTATTTAATGCCTTGCATATAAGAGTGCTTTTAGATGGTTTGGCCAAGACCGTACCTTGTAGATGGGAAATTGAGATGACTGGACCCTTCACTTTGAGAGACCACAAACTATATCCAAAACAGTCCCGAAGCTAATACTCATAGAAGCAGTAGGCAGGCAGAAGAAAAGGACTCTATAAGCTTACCTGTTACTAATGTAAAGGGAGTGATTAGTAAAGTGACCAAGTGATCAGAAGAATTCCTCAATCAATCTGATATTACAGGGTATGAACCATTGTCTGGAAGCAACTAAGAGGTACCTTTTCATGACATGTGAACGTACCCACTAGCACCATACTGGTTATGTTTGAGAGACTAGGACCATATCCTGATGACTAAGGCTGACTAAAAATCAGCCATGCTTCCCAGTGACCTATGAAATGTAGATGATGTCTCCCTTAACTCTTCCCCTGGTGCAGTAGCTAGAGCTCTGGGCTTGGAGACAGCATTTAGATTTAAATCCTGCTTCAGACACTTAATCTTTTGTAAAAATTATATGTATTATTCAATGATCCAAGACAATTCCAAAGGACTCATGATGAAAAATGCTATCCACATCCAGAGAAAGAACTGATGGAGTCTGAATGCATATGGAAGCATACTATTTTTTACTTTCTTTATTTTTTTGTGCTTTTTTTTCCCTGTTTTCTTTGACAACATGAATAATAGCGAAATGCTTTTCATGATTACACATATATAACCGGTATCAAATTGCTTACCATTTCAGGGAGGGAAGAAGGGAAGGAAAGAATTTGGAACTCAGAAATTTTAAAAATGAATGTTAAAAACTATTTTTACGTGCAATTGGGAAAACTAGTTATTAAAAAATAAAAATATATAGAAAAATTATATGTGTCTTTTCCAGTCAGTAAAAATCCATCTTCTCATCTTCCCACTCCAAACCTCTCCCCCCAAGTGAGAACAAGAGAAGAAAAAAGACAGAAAGAAAGAAAGAAAGAAAGAAAGAAAGAAAGAAAGAAAGAAAGAGAAAGAAAGAAAGAAAGAAAGAAAGAAAGAAAAAGAAAGAAAGAAAGAAAGAAAGAAAGAGAAAGAAAAGAAAGATTCATTTCTGCACTCTGAGTCCTTCACCTATCAGAAAGTAGTTAGCATATTTCATTAGTCCTCTGGAATCTTAGTTGATCATTCCGCTGATCAGAGTTCTTAATTTTTTCAAAGTTGTTTTTATCATATTTGAGATTTCTGGGAAAAGGGACTTCCTGCTCCAGCCTAACTTTACAGAAGGCTCTACAAACTTCCCATGCAGTTTCTTCCTTAGAAAGTGAAGTCAGTGAATTACTCAGATACCCACCAAACCAGTGGGGAGGAGATTGCTTACTCAGCAGCCTCCAAAATATGTTTACTTTCTGAGAATAGCCTAAACTATGGAGTACGATTATAAATGGATATAGATTGGGAGAGATGTATTGCTCTGTGAGAAAGGGGGACTCAAAGTATTGCCCTAATAAAGTGGATAGAGCACTGGGCCTGGCATCAGCAAGACCAGTGACCTTGGGCAAGTCATTTAACCTCTGTCTTAATCTGCTAGAGAAAGAAATGGCAAACCACTCCAGTATCCTTGCCAAGAAAAACTCATGAACAGGATGGTCCATAGAGTCATAAAGAGTAGTACATGTACCTGCTGAAACAAACCCAGGAACTCTATGAACACAATTACAAAACACTTTTCACACAAATAAAATCAGATCTAAATAATTGGAAAAACATCAGTTGCTCATGGGTAGGCTGAGCTAATATAATAAAAATGACAATTCTATCTAAGCTAATTTACTTATTCAGTGCCACACCAATCAAACTACCAAAAAATTATTTTATAGAGTTAGAAAAATAATAACAAGATTCATTTGGAAGAACAAAAGGTCCAGAATATCAAGAGAACTAATGAAAAGAAATGCAGGGGAAGGAGGCCTAGCCATTCCAGATCTTAAATTGTATTATAATTTATTATAATACAATATTATAATTATAATAATAATAAGCAATCATCAAAACTGCTTGGTACTGGCTAAGAAATAGAGTGGTGGATCAGTGGAATAGGTTAAGTATGCAAAACACAATAGTCAATGACTATAGTAATATACTATTTGATAAACCCAAAGACCCCAGCTTCTGGGATAAGAACCCACTCTTTGAAAAAAACTGCTGGGAAAATTGGAAAAGAGTATGGCAGAAACTAGGCATAGACCAAAATCTCACACCATATACCAAAATAAAGTCAAAATGGGTACATGATTTAGATATAAAGGCTGATACTATAGGCAAACTGAGAGAGCAAGGAATAGTTTATCTGTCACATCTATGGAAAACAGAAGAATTCATGACCAAACAGGAGATAGAGAACATTATGAAAAGCAAAATAGATAATTTTGATTACATTAAATTGAAAAGTTTTTGCACAAACAAAGCCAATGAAACTAAGATTAGAAGGAAAGTAGAAAATTGGGAAAGAATTTTTACAACCAGTCTCTCTGATAAAGGCCTCATTTCTAAAATATATAGAGAATTAAGTCAAATTTATCAGAATACAAGCCATTCCCCAATTGATAAATGGTCAGAGGATATGAACAGACAGTTCTCAGATGAAGAAATTAAAGCCATCTATAGTCATATGAAAAAATGTTCTAAATCACTATTGATTAGAGAAATGCAAATCAAAACAACTCTGAGGTACCACATCACACCTATCAGAATGGCCAACATGACAAAACAGGAAAATGATAAATGTTGGAGAAGATGTGGGAAAATTGGAACGCTAATGCATTGTTGGTGGAGTTGTGAAATGATCCAACCATTTTGGAGAGCAATTTGGAACTATGCCCAAAGGGCTATAAAAATTTGCATACCCTTTGACCCAGCAATAGCACTTCTAGGACTATATCCCAAAGAGATCACACAAATGGGAAAAGGACCTACATGTACAAAAATATTCATAGCAGCTCTTTTTGTGGTGGCAAAGAAGTGGAAATTGAGAGGACGTCCATCAGTTGGGAAATGGCTGAGCAAGTTGTGGTATATGAATGTGATGGAATACTATTGTGCTATAAGAAATGATGAACAGGCTGATTTCAGAAAAACCTGGAGAGACTTGTATGGTTTGATATTGAGTGAAGTGAGCAAAAACAAGAGAATGTTGTACACAATAACAGCCACATTGTGTGATGACTAATATTGATAAACGTAACCCTTCCTGGCAATACAAGGATCTAAAACATCTCCAGAGGCCTTGTGATGGAAAATGCTATCCACAGCCAAAGAAAGAACTACGGAAGCCGAATTGTTATTTTTTTTTCTCTTCTGTTGAGTTTTGTTTCCTCTTTCTGACAGTTCCTCCTATTGGTTTTAATTTCTACTTACAACATCACTAATGTGAAAATATGTTTAATATGAATGTAAATGTATAGCCTATATCAGATTGTGTGCCATCTTGGGGAGGGTGGTGGGGAGGTAGGGGGAGAAAAATTTTAAACTCAAAAGCATATGGAAGTGATTATTGATAAATCAAAATAAATTTTAAAAAAAGAGTAGGACATGACTGAACAACTGAACAACAATAAAAATCTTGCTCTTCTGTGGGGAACTAATGATATTTGAGAACTTCATATATTTCAGGTTCTATTCATGGACTCCAATGATTCTTTTGTATCTTAGGCATTTTCTGTTGGGATTTAAAAAAAAAAAGGCTAATCCATATCCAATAAGCATTTAGTACCTTGAGTATGATGTGGTATTTAAGAGACCCCTTTCCCCACATTTGGGGAAACCTAAACATGAGTCATACCATGAGTACATTAAATATTTTCCTGCAGTGGTCTGTGTGGGACCACAAACCAAAGAGATACTGATCCTCTTGGGTCATTTCACAGGATCAGACCTTCTCCTAGTGAGTGAGCCCAGAAGTCATTGGGGAGCCTTGTGTCATGGGTTACCCCAAAAATAAAATGGGCTTATATATAATTGACATAAAATACCCTTTCTCTCTTCCAATACTGTCATCATGTCAACAAGCATGAAACTGGTACTAGATTTCTGGTAACAACTGATAATCATT